CCCCCCGAGGAGCCGTCCCCTGTCCCCACTGTGTCACTGTCCCCCCTGTTGATGTGGCCATCCCTTGTCCCCCGTGGTGACTTTGCCACCATCCCTGCCCTGTCCCCCCCATTCGAGGAGATGTCCCCTGTCCCCTGTGGTGACACTGTCCCTGTCCCCACTGTGCCATCCCCTCTTCCTGTGGCCATCCCTTGTCCCCCGTGGTGACACTCTTGACGTCTCCCCTGTTCAGGTGTTCATCCTGTCCCCACTGTGTCACTGTCCCCCTTGTTGAGGTGGCCACCCCCTGTCCCCACACTGACACTGCCACCATCCCTTCCCCATCCCCACCAACCCGAGGAGACGTCCCCTGTCCCTGATGTCCCCTGTCCTCACTGTGTCACTGTCCCCCTCTGTTCAGGTGTTCATCCTCTCCCCTGTGGTGACACTCTTGATGTCCCCCCTGTTCAGGTGTTCATCCTGTCCCCTGTGGTGACACTCTCGATGTCCCCCCTTGTTGAGGTGGCCACCCCTTGTCCCCTATGGTGACACTGCCACCATCCCTGCCCTGTCCCCCCAACCCGAGGAGACGTCCCCTGTCTCCGATGTCCCCTGTCCTCACTGTGTCACTGTCCCCCTTGTTGAGGTGGCCATCCTGTCCCCCATGGTGACACTGCCACCATCCCTGCCCTGTCCCCCCACCTGAGGAGACATCCCCTGTCCCCCTTGTTGAGGTGGCCATCCTGTCCCCCGTGGTGACACTGTCCCTGTCCCCACTGTGCTGTCCCCTCTTCCTGTGGCCATCCCTTGTCCCCCATGGTGACATCCCCCCCGTTCAGGTGGCCATCCTGTCTCCCAAGGTGACACTCTCGATGTCCCCCCCATTCAGGTGTTCATCCTGTCCCCACTGTGTCACTGTCCCCCTTGTTGAGGTGGCCACCCCCTGTCCCCACAGTGACACTGTCACCATCCCTGCCCCGTCCCCCCAACCCGAGGAGCCGTCCCCTGTCCCCACTGTGTCACTGTCCTCCCTGTTGATGTGGCCATCCCTTGTCCCCCGTGGTGACATTGCCACCATCCCTGCCCTGTCCCCCCCATTTGAGGAGATGTCCCCTGTCTCCCGTGGTGACACTGTCCCTGTCCCCACTGTGCCATCCCCTCTTCCTGTGGCCATCCCTTGTCCCCCGTGGTGACACTCTCGATATCCCCCCTTGTTGAGGTGGCCATCCTGTCCCCCGTGGTGACACTCTCCATGTCCCTCCTGTTGAGGTGGCCACACTTTATCCCCTATGGTGACACTGCCACCGTCTCTTCCCCGTCCCCCCAACCCGAGGAGATGTCCACTGTCCCTGACGTCCCCTGTCCTCACTGTGTCACTGTCCCCCCTGTTGAGGTGCCCATTCCTTGTCCCCCATGGTGACACTGCCACCATCCTTTTCCTATCCCCCCAACCCGAGGAGCCGTCCCCTGTCCCCACTGTGTCACTGTCCCCCCTGTTGATGTGGCCATCCCTTGTCCCCCGTGGTGACTTTGCCACCATCCCTGCCCTGTCCCCCCCATTCGAGGAGATGTCCCCTGTCCCCCGTGGTGACACTGTCCCTGTCCCCACTGTGCCATCCCCTCTTCCTGTGGCCATCCCTTGTCCCCCGTGGTGACACTCTCGATATCCCCCCTTGTTGAGGTGGCCATCCTGTCCCCCGTGGTGACACTCTCCATGTCCCTCCTGTTGAGGTGGCCACACTTTATCCCCTATGGTGACACTGCCACCGTCTCTTCCCCGTCCCCCCAACCCGAGGAGATGTCCACTGTCCCTGACGTCCCCTGTCCTCACTGTGTCACTGTCCCCCCTGTTGAGGTGCCCATTCCTTGTCCTCCATGGTGACACTGCCACCATCCTTTTCCTATCCCCCCAACCCGAGGAGCCGTCCCCTGTCCCCACTGTGTCACTGTCCCCCCTGTTGATGTGGCCATCCCTTGTCCCCCGTGGTGACTTTGCCACCATCCCTGCCCTGTCCCCCCCATTCGAGGAGATGTCCCCTGTCCCCTGTGGTGACACTGTCCCTGTCCCCACTGTGCCATCCCCTCTTCCTGTGGCCATCCCTTGTCCCCCGTGGTGACACTCTCGATATCCCCCCTTGTTGAGGTGGCCATCCTGTCCCCCGT